AATATATATAGACTTACCTGGAAATTGGAAACAGAAAGGATTGACTGGCAGGGTTGGGAACATAGGGGTGGGGGGAAAATGGAAGGTTGGAGGAGAAGAGGAGGAAAGAAGAAGAGGGTAGAGGAGAAATTGAAGGAATGGGATACTAGAGATGGGGAAAGGACAGAGATGAAGAAAGGAGAGAGATGTCTTGATTAAGGGAGCTATTATAGGGTTAGCAGAAAGGTATCTTGACTTCAGAATTTTGGTCTAAGAATATGGTGCTTTGGAAAAGAGGTTCTTCCTTTGTTTTCACAGAAGATGAGAACCTGTGGGTTGCCTCCATGTGATTATGGTTTCATGAACCAAGACCTCCTGAAAAGTTGCCATGAACACCCTCAAAGACTTACTTCACTCAACTGCTGACTGAGATGAACCTAGAACACAGGATACATCATAAAAGACCTAATTAACAGTGCCCCCAATCAGCACAAAGCAGTATGGATAAATCTGTGCCCATACTCCCAAATATTGCTTATAAATGTTCTTTTACATTTAAAGGGGGATATGATATAGATATGAATAATTTACACTGGTATGGATCTTGGTTTATTGATAAAAATTTAAGGTCAATCTTGTTATATGTATATTTCTGCTCTTGATTGAAGTGGTGTGATTGTGTAGTTCATTTAAAAAAATGTAATGTATAATTAAGAAATACAGGGTAATAGATAATCCTCTATAATTGTCAAGTTTGTAGTCATGTTATTTAGATTTTCTAGATGTACATAGAAGTATTTCAGATGAATAGAGATTTTTCAAATCTTTCAGAGACCTTCAGAATATGGCATTTAAGTGTTTTAAAAATTTAGGACTTTTCATGACAGAGTCTGTGAGACATTCTGCAGGACACAGAAAAGTCTGCTGGATACTATGAGCCTGTAGGCTGAAGATGGATGCCCCAATGGTACAAAAGTGGTGTAGGAGGTCCTTCTGTATTTGCATTGCTTTCATTGGTTGAATAAAGAAACTGCCTTGGCCTTTTGATAGGGCAGAGCTGAGATAAGCGGGAAGACAGAACTGAATGCTGGGAGGAGGAAGGCAGACAGAGAGATTCCATGAAACTGACGCTGGTTAGGATCTTTCCTAGTAAGCCACAACCTCGTGGTGAACACAGATTGGTAGAAATGAGTTAGATCAGGATGTGAGAGTTGACCAAGAAGAGGTTAGATATAATGGGCCAGGCAGTAATTTAATTAATACAGTTTCTGTGTGATTATTTCATGTGTAAGGTAGCCGGGCAGGATGGAACAAAGGGCCTTCTGCTCCCCTCAACAATTGGCCCCCAACACAAAAGAACTTTGGGTAAATGTCCAAGCAGCAAGATGTTAATTCTAGAGTTTTGGAAGTTGTTTATAATGCACTTCCTGTTTACTTAGGTAATACTATATCCTTCTGGAGTCTTTGATGGAGTTAAAGAATAGATAAGTTATAGTTATAGTTTTTCTTAGTTATGATAAAAGATAAAGTAGATATAAATATTGTAACTCTAATTCTTGAATGAGAACTGTTTTATTATATGTAATTTTATTATGTTAAAGTTAAAGCCTTTCTTTTTGTTTAAACAGAAAAGGGGAAATGGTGTAGGATTTCCTTCTGCTTGTGTGTTGCTTTCATTGGTTAATGAATAAAGAAACTGCCTTGGCCTAATTGATAGGGTGAAACTTAGGAAGGCGAAAAAAACAGAACTGAATGCTGGGAAGAAGAAGGGCAGAATGAGAAATGCCATGAATTTGCGGCCAGAGGTAGACATGCTGAAACTTTTCTGGTAGGCCACAACCTCGTGGTGATACACAAATTGATAGAAATGGGTAAAATTAAGATGTAAGAATTAGCCAATAAGAAACTAGAGCTAATGGGCCAAGCAATAATTTAATTAACACAGTTTCTGTGTGGTTATTTCAGATGTAAGTTAGCCAGGTGGCTGGGATGAACAAGCAGGACCTCTCTATACAACAGGAAGATCCACCTTAAACCTGGACCACATCTGCTGGCAGCCAATGTAAAAGACATAGAAAAAGGACACTGTAGTTCTCAGCCTGCTTGCTCTCACTGGTAAGTTCATTCCTTCACTGGTATTAAAGCCATGGAGGGAAATATTTTGGGATTCCAGTGTATACTGAAGACCAAATGAAACATCCAGCCTCATGGACTGAATAACTACCGGATTCTGGAAGTCACTCTAATAAATCCTTTAATTATAGATAGATGGATAGATAGATAGATAGATAGATAGATAGATAGATAGATAGATAGAT